AGAGCAAAAAAGGCTATTTGAATTCATTTTTAAAAAAAATTTAATATATTAGCCCTAAAATTTCGGGTCGGGTTCGGGTTGGCTCATAACCCGACCCGTTCGGAGCACTAGTTAGGGTTAGATTAAGGTTTAGTTAGGGTTAGATTAGGTTTAGAATTTGGGTTAGGTTAAAATTGCGAGATAAACATTTTTACTTAATTAGATTACTTTAATAAATTTTGAGTTATTAAATATAGCTACAGATTTTTTAAAATCAATTGCTTAGATTTAATATTATACTTAATTATACATTCTGATTGGTTAACTAGGGTTTTGGGGTTTCGGATTATAGTTTCGGGAGTTTTGGGTTTCGGGGTTTCGGTTTTTTTTTGAAAATCCGAAACTAGTTTCGGATTAGAACCTTTCCGAAACTAGTTTCGGGTAGGTTTCGTTTCGAGTCCAACTCTAGTACATATGTCGGTGAAATACAGCAGGTTCGTGATGGGATGTACATAGTTATACAACAATATTTTTATATATATCTTATTAGGCCAAGCAATTTTTTGGGGTTCATAACCCGGCTGGGTCGATATTTGCTAAACTTAGGAAAAAAATTTTAAATATACTATCCGGTTAGTTTATTTTTAAAAAATTAACCTAAAAATTTTCGGTTCTACTTTAAAATCCCGAAAGACAGATTCCCGAAAAAGACATAATGCCGACAAAGTTGGCCAGCATTAGTTATAATGCTGGCCAATTTAGTCAGTATTATTTCCTTTCGGGAAAATGGCTTTCGGGATTTCAGGGTAGAACCAAAATTTTCATATGTTATTTTTTAAAAATGAAATCAAAATCCAGGTATCGAATTACTTTTTTTAAATTTTGGTCATGAGAACCAAAATGTAATTTTATATAGCCTTAAATATTTGTTAATTTATTATTTATGTAAATCAAGAATTTTAATATTTACCGTTTTAAAAATCATCACTAAAAGAAATTTCCAAATGAATATACTCACGTTTACAGTAGTATATTATATATTTGCACATTTATGATATTATATAATTATATAAATACATATAGTATCATCACTCTTAAGGACTGGTGATAAAAAATAGATTACAAATAATGCTCCTCTGTGATGATGGTGTCGAGTAACACATGAAGTAGTAGGTAATGTTTTGACAGTTCTTGCAAAATTACACAAAATCATTTTAAAAATATATCTCTCCTGTGCCGGAGGCACGGGCTACACGCCAGTATATAAAATAATAACGATAATAATAAAACAATATGATATTAACTAAATATAGAAAAGAAAAAAGAAAAAATTCGAGCATGACAACGGCAATACTTATTGCTATAGTGAATGTCATTAATATAGAACCGAAACTAATACAGTAAATATGTAATAAGTCATTAATAAGAATTCATTTTTTGAAGGCCGACTCTTGGAAGACGTTGGCTAGTTAAAGATTGTAACACATTGGAATATGGATTTTTCTGTCTTTGCAATTTGGCTAATTTAAATTGATTTTTTATGTTATCATCGTCATCAATTGATTTATCTCCAGAAAGAAACTGGAACCATCTCTCTAAAGTAGAGGCTAAATCTTGTGCAGTAGGTCGTTTGGCTGGGTCAGAATTCCAACACTGCTTCATTAAATTAGCATAACATTGGGGAGTTCCTTTAATTACCTCTGGCCTTAATCCTTTACAAATTTTTATAGATAATTTCGTATCATACTTCGATTCATAAAAGGGCGGTCGAAAAGAGGTGAATTCCCACATAATTATGCCAAAGCTGTAAATATCTGTAGCTTTTGTATGTGGTTTTCCAAGGAGAATCTCTGGCGCTACGTACGGCAAAATTCCCATGGGATCTTTGGTTTGAGTTCCATCTTTACAAGCTAACCCAAGATCGGCAACAAAGCTACGCCTGTTATCGCCAAATAATACATTACCACTGTGTAAGTCACGGTGCACAAGGCCTAACCGATGCAGGCTACGAATATCAATTGCAAGACTCCAAAGCCTGTCAAGACGATCTTTCCAAGTAATGGTATCGAAGGTAGAGGATAAATAAGTTCGTAAATCACCCCTCTCGACGTATCGCATGACAATTAGATAATCTTTTGTGACAGGATGTTGTGTTATGCCGTAACAATCTATAGAACCCAAATTAGTTTTCCGAAATTCAAGCATAGCTTTCATCTAATTGAATAAATAACCCCAAATATGTTATTGAATAAACTATTGATAGTTAAAATGAGCAGATAACACAACCATTACCTCTCCAAGAAGCATATTAATATCTTCTTTATCATGTACACCTTTTAAAGCAACCCACATTGATTCACCTCGTTCATATGTATTTGAAGTGAAGTCCCATTTGCAAATACGACCACATTTCCAGTAGGCTTTATAAACAGTGCCATATCCACCGCTACCAATTTGACTAAGTTCTGTAAATTGATTTTCCGGCAACCATTCTAAGACTTGGTCAGGTAATTCGGCGGTTAACTGTGATTCTTGAATAAATGTATCAATCTTTGAGTTGCCGCTTGTCCATTTTGGAAATTCAGACTTAAAATATTTAAAATTGCAATGACGACACCAGCGGGGATAAACCCATTCTTGGTGACAAAAGTGGCACTGTTTTAATAATTTTTCAATTACTGCATATTCTCTTGTTCTAGGATCGCGCGTCATTCCGTAAACTATTCGTTTGGATGGGGTTTTCTTTGAAATTTCGTGTTCCTAAAACAAAGGGATGGTGTTCAGGCGCCATTTATAGAAACAATGATACTCAAATTAAAGAGATTATGTTTACCAATTGAAGAAACCGAGGAACTAAATGCTTTTCATCATATTGATTAGTTACCAATTTAACCCACTGTCCACCTTGCCGATTCCATTTATCTGAATCTTTATCCCACCCTAGCAAATGACCATCTTCCCAAAAAGCTTTATGATTATTAAAAAGTTGAAATTTTTCAAGGAACTTAAATTTAGAATAATCAACCCATTCAAATATACACTCGCGACGTTCGGCAGTTATTTGAGTTTTACGAATAAATTTATCTATTTCAATATTTCCACTCGTCCAATTTGGGAAATCGATTTCAAAACGTTTTGCATTACATGATTTGCACCAATTTGTTGCATTGACTTTTTGTCCACATTCTTCGCATAGAACAGAATTATTTTCGCTCGACATTTGGGACTCATCATCAAAACTGCAATTAATTTATTTTTTAAAAAAAATCGTTACACAATATATACATCAAAGCAAATATGTAGCGTGTTTATTGATTTACATTTATTATTTTGGCACTAAATTATTGATTACAAATTTGTGTACTATATAAATAAAATTTAATCCAGCTTAAGGTTAGAATAAGTTAGCTTGGAGTTGGGAAATAGTTATAATTTATGTTAAATTTGTTTTATGATCAGATTTTGAGACATCAATATACCTGTGTACGTACACATAATGTACAAATGAAATTTCATTATTAATTAAGGCTAGGATAAAGAAAATACAGGATATATAAAGAAAATATAGACTAGGAAAACGTGAAACATTAAAGTCTGGAGCATATACCTAATATATACTCATTATATAATTTTTTACAGAAACACCTGCCTTATTGGGTTAATCCGTATTGATCTGTTTATATGCTTTGAAATTCTGATTGGCTCGATATTATGTGAGCGGAACCCGACACAAAATTTTGGTCTATTACTTCCCCATCAAGTCCTCCGCTACGTTCCGGACAATAAAGAAAATATATTATAAAGAAAATATAGGATAAAGTAAATGAAAATTTATATCCGGTACGTATTAATTTTATTAATTTTGTAGTTTGCAAATTCGTGTAGCATACCAAGCAAAACAATTACGAACGAAGATTAAACCCTTCTTATGGTTAGAGTAAGGGTGGATTTGGGATTAGGGAGAGATAATGTTTATACCAAAATTTCACAAGAGGTTTTTTTTATCAGAAGCCAAACCGGTTTCATAATTGAAAACTTGAGATAGCGGCTGGTTTTTATATTGCCCGTGTACATGCCATAGGTCCAAAGCATGCATATATGGTTCCCGATAGCCAACTATTAGCCTCAAAAATCTGATCTATATTTGTAATATATCAGAAGCATATCAGGTAAATATATATATAGTCAGACCTCTCTAAGTGCACGCACTTGGGATTAGAGATGGGGAAAATGCGCATTTTATAATAGCATGCGCATGTTATATAAAATGCGCATGATATCGCATGATATAATTTTTTTTGACTTTATATTTTCCCTCCGGAAAATATCGGATGTTTGCCAAAAAATTTTCCCCGACCCTTCTCATCTTTATGTTCATTCTTTTTTTTTTCGGAATTTCTCAAAACTTCTGCATTTCTATTTCTTAATTTTGCCTGGCATTTTACACCTTGACCTAAATTAAATATACTTAATTTTCCTATATAAAATTTAGATGGGATAAAATGCACATAATTCCGAATCATGCGCATGAATGCGCATTAATGCGTACGATTGAGGATTCATGCGCACGCATGAGACCCATCTCTACTTGGGACCACCGTGCATATAGAGAATAATAAGAAAAAGTACATTTATAGAGGTCAAGCATATACAGTCAGACCTCTCTAAGTGCACGCCCTTGGGACCACACTCTAATAACGTGCATATGGAGAGTAATAAGAAAAGTGCATTTATAGAGGTCAAGTATATATTTAGACCAGCACTTTAGCGTGCATTTAGAGAGGGTGTACACTTATAGAGGTCTGACTGTATCGGATATTCCGATGTTTATTTTTTACCTGATATGTTTCTGACATTGCAAATATAGATCAGATTTTTGACGCCAATAGTTAGCTATCGGGTACCCTATAGAATGTGTACATCCCGTGTAGTAATAGAAGCTAATGACATGACGATCATCACATTAATACGCGTAAATGCACATGTATTTGTTACATTTAAAAAGGTGCAAATATAGTCACGCGGGCGTGACCGACAAAAAATTTCCAAATTACGTGTATACTTGCCGCCCAAATTGGTACAAATCCCAAACTCCAAAAAACAATTGTTATTTATAAAAAATTAAATGAAAAATTAAATTTAATACTTTGTAAATATATTCTATGTAACTATAAGAATCTATTTAATTGGTTTAAAGTTTTAGAGAGACTAATTTATACCGAGTTTTGGATTTGGGATTTGGGTGTGACAAACTATAATAGTTTGGATTTGGGCGGAAAGTATCTTCATAATCGGAGATCAATTTACCCAGTGAGTGCAAATAGTAAATATTTATTTGTCGATATTCTCTAATAGCATATGAGATTAAAACGACGTTAGAGTTATGAATAAAGTAGATTAGATAGTAAAATTTTGCAAGGAATTTTTTTTATTGTTTTTTGTTAGAAAACAAAAGCTGATTTCTTAGGTAAAATATTGATTTTTCCTTCGATTTCACGTTAAGCATATGTTACACCTGATCTTGCGATCTACTACTATGTGGGAATGCATCAAAAACGTAATTTTGTATCACTTTGCGTAAACATCCGGACAATAAATTTACCGTTGGCCACTGTATACAGTAACCAGGGTCTTATTCAGGAACTCCATTTTTAAAATTGAATAGTAACCAAATATGTATCATTCATCTATTTATGATAAATTAGGAACAATGGACGTTTCCATAATTACATTAATTGTGTAATATTTATTTATGTCAAATTAGGAACAATGGACGTTTCCATAATTACATTAATTGTGTATTATTTATTTATGTTAGTGATAAATTTGGGAATAACAGACGTTTGATTGATGACACCCATTTGTTTCTTCATATTTTTGTACTCTATTTTAATTAATGATTGTTCGTAGTGATCTTTGTTAAACCATGCATCAGATCTCTTTTAGTATAGGTGTCCCTATTCTAAATCAATTGCTTAATAATATATTTAATTAATGGGGTCATTCATACTAAACAAAGATCCCATGTATCATTTATTATGATAGTAAAAAAATGGACGCTGTTCTTGAAATAGTGTTACTCGATCATTCATGCATTCGCTAGCTTGGTCCAAGCAATATGATATCTACCCTCCGTAAGTGCAAATTCTCTGTAAATGCTGGATATGTGTTTGACTCATCGGTTGCACCTAATGAGAGTTAACTGAATTATTCTTATAGTCAAGTGTACGAATTTAGGATATAATCAAATAGTGAATTTATTGTTCATATAAGGACAATTGGATAAACTTCATTGTTTTTTATTGGTCAACTTTATGCGATAATAAATTTTACAAATGATACCACCATGATCAACAATGTACAACGTGTGTACTATATAAATATGTTTATCCAAAAAATCAGGAGCTGAAAATCCATGAATTTTGTCCTTCGAACCCTTCAAATTCCGCAATCCTATTTTACAAAACTATTCATGCCTAGAAAACGTGTTGTTGTGCTTGGTGCTGGTGTTTCTGGCTTAACTACTGCCACTCTTCTCTTGCAGCAAGAAAAAAAGTTTGAAGTTACTGTAGTTGCGAAACATTTTCCAGGGGACTTTACAAGTGAATTCACGAGTCCATGGTATATATTTGTATTTTCTGATATAAGTTTTTTAGTATTGATGCTAAATTGAGTTTTTAAAATATATTCACATCATAGGGCCGGTGCACATTGGAGGAGTTATGCTACGAATGATGACATAAGACAACAAGGTATGACATTGACCTATATATCCTATATATTATTATTGGATCCGATGTTGTGATATTGAAATATTCAGCTAAACCTAGAATTCGAAAAAGAAACATTTCATTATTTTTGGAACCATGCTAAGGTGACAGAAAATGAAGCTGGTGTTATGATTGTAGATGGATTTGATTATTGGGAACAATTACCTGAAGATTTTTCTGAGCCATGGTTCAAGACATTTTGTCCTGATGTAATAAAGTTTAAGTCTGATTTAGGTGCTCAATCTCATCCTCAATTTGTCAAGCAAAGAACACGATTTTCTAGTCAGTCGACAATATCAATTAAGATTCTTTGTTGAACCACCTTTGAGGATGGGTTTGAGAACGCTCCTATTAAGTTTTGTGATTTGATTTAAATTTGATCATTATGAAATAGTATCGGCATTTGAAAAAAGAAGAACTACCAACGGGCGTTGTGTTTGGAACCACGTATAAAACAGGTGATCTATCATATAAATCATTTTATTTACTAAATTGTTGTGAGAAAATTTCAACTAATTAATGAGCAATGCTACAAGTTTCCATTAATGCACCAAAATACCTTAGTTATCTTCTCCATACCTTTAAATCTTTGGGTGGTACTACACGGCGCGCCGATCTACCTCACCTACATGATTGTATTGAAAGCGATACTGATATTGTGGTCAATTGTTCAGGAGTTCATGCCAGAACTTTAGGAGGTGTTGAAGATAATGATGTTTATGCGGCTAGAGGTCAGATAGTAATCGCGAAATTGCCCCGTTCATACGTCAACTGGACATTTGAAAGATATGGCGCTGGGAGTAGTAATGGAGGGATTGGTATGTATTCATTTTTAATAATGGCTTAGTTCATTTTTGATTCTATAATTAGCTTTTTAACGTATGACTTGAATTAGATAACGGAGGAACAATTACTTATGTAATACCGCGTGACAATGGAGAAGTAATTTTGGGCGGAACTTATGTAAGTAGTGCCTTGTTTTATTTTTCCAATAAATCACAAATTTTAATATTGCTGATTATATGTAAAGGAAAAAAACAACTAGTAAGTTTTTGTAGAAAGATATATTCTCTTTTGACAAACTTGAGTAATCTACCTCTATATATTAGTTCATCCGAACCTGATCTTAAAGAGGCTGCCGCTATTATACAACGCTGCTTATCTACTCGACCGGATCTCTTACCACAAGGCCAAACTGATTTAAATATAGAGAGACACGCAGTTGGTCTTCGACCTTGTCGAAATGGTGGTATAAGAAATGAAGCAGAATGGATGAGTATGCATGATTATTTAAAAATTTTTACATAAACTTTTACGTAATATATAAATATTTTGCATAATACTATCCCAGCTTTTGAAAAATTCGAAAAAAAAATTCTCATTTGTCATAATTACGGTCATGGAGGTTATGGTAAAATAAAATTAAAAATATTTTATCCTTTAAATTTAATTAATTAATATTTTTTTTTATTATATATATTGAAATCAATATAATTTTATTGTACTTTAAGGGTTTCAGTCAAGCTATGGTGCCGCCCAAAGCGTTATAAAAATCATCGATGCATTAATTCAGTGATATATTTTCGTCACGTAGGTTTGATATTCATTATAATAATTCCATAGCGAAAATAAATACGATTGATTTGATTTTATTATAGACATTGCTAACCCCATCAGTAATCTCTAAAGATGCAAAGCTCATAATTTTCCTTATTAAATTATTTTACTGAATTTAACAAAAGCTATTTTGCAATATGCTTATAATTTCACTGTCAATGGCACAATGTCCATTAATATTAAATCACTATCTATTTATTGGTTTTTTTTTTCAATTCGTTCAAAATCTTTCCAACGAATCAATAGTTATAGTAGGTTAATTCTTAATTTCAATGAATCAAATCGATTATTAATCTTTATTTCAAAGAATTGACGAATGCTACCAATGATAATAGTAATGTGTTGAGTAAATTAATTTGAAATTATCGATTTGATACTATTACCAAGCATTTATTGCGGTTTGCAAAAAAATGTGAAATTTGCAGATCAAAGAAAAAATAATAAATCGATGATTTCTGATTTCTAATTGCCGATTTCTTTAACATTACTTCTGATGACGTATGTATATCAACTAATATTATACTATATAAAGTCCTATATATATTTATTTAGCATACATTTTTTTTAAAAAAAATTCATTTCTATGACTAAAATTATTATCCCGGAACATGCTTTGGATGCACAGAGTGTCTTTTTTGTCAACTTCTAAAATTTATTGTAATGAATATATATAAGTTATATATTCCAATAAAAAAAGCTATACTAAAGTTCCTTAGCAATATCATGTAATAATTCTTATAAGATTGCAACTTTTAATTTTCTTGCTTATCATGCAATAGTAAATTTTACCGGGCTAGAAAAGAAACAAAACTTAATATTACACAATCAAGTTCCTTACAACATGAAGAGTATGCAAAATATATTCCTACAAAAGGTGCTAAATCAAATTATGTTATGAAATTATGAATCTACAACTTTTATTTCTGCAAAAAATGTTAAGGGAATCGGCAATCAGAATCAGAAATCATCGATTTCTTTTTTTTTTTTTTGGTCTGCAAATTAAGGAACATACTCCAGATAATAATGAGAATTATTGGTCATTGATTAAAGAGTTATCGTCTGCTAGTGAGCTTCTAGAACTTCTTCAGACTATAACTGAACATGATATTAAGAATTTAGATGATTTTTCTGATGAACAGATAATTCAAAAAAACACTATGTCATCACTCGTTAAAGTTAAACAGTTGATTGTGCAATTAATGAACAGATCCAATAAAATTGATGAATTTTTGAAACTTTTGCAAAAAATCAGTCAGGAAAATCCATTTTTACCCATTGAAATCCCAGTATATGCTAGCTTTAATATGGCTTTACAAAACATGTAAGTTATTTCCTGTAACATTGTCACATAGCCATGAATCTATGCTCTTGCATGCTTAAATATTTATTGTTTTCCTTAGGTTTAGAAACATTTCTTCTGACATTCGGCGCACAGAAATACCTTCTGACATTCATGTCGTCGTGGGAATAGGTATGAATAAAATCGAAGATGTACTTTCAAAATTTTAATTCATGCAATTCTGCTCGCTCAAAATACTTTCTATTATTAAATATTAAATAATTAGAATTTGGCACAAACTTTTCGGTAACTTTAGTTTCATATTCCGGTGAAATTTATCTATTATTGCTCTTTTTTTTAAAAAAAAAATTTTTATATAATTACAGAGCTTTGCATGTGCTAGCATTAACTCCCGTGAAGTTATAACTAACCAAAGTTGGCCAGGTGTAAATGGCCAATTTAAAACTAGTACTGTATTACAGTATGATGAAAATTATGAGGAAGTTGTTGATTGGGGTACCCGTGCTTTAGTTCCAGAAATAAAACAACGAGAGAGAAGAGTAGAAAACTTACCAAGGCCAACAGAATTTTTCAAACTTCATTTAGGCTACGTTCCAAAAGATCAAAAGCCAAAGTTACCATTCGGACTTACTCCTGAAAGGGTTATTACTGATTACCTTCGCAAGATGGGTGCGTAAAATAATTTATTAATTAATCTAATGCTAATAAATTTTTAAAGAAAATTTTAATGATAATTTTAGGCGAGGTAAAGGCTTTTATTTTGATGATTTAGAAAAGTTTATTAATATTTTACTAAAGTTATTTACTATATATGTTATATTATATAGTTAATAAAAGAAACAGTTGAAAGGAACAAACTTTTTTAGAATGGTACGCTTAGTGGTCACGATTCCTGCAGGTAATTTTGCTAATCATGAAATTTGGTAGTAGTTCCAAAATTAAATTTAAACCTAATATAATTATATAGAATTTATTGAGGAAACAAAAGCTATTACGAGACATTGTATTTACAAAGCTAATTTAATTAACAATATTGGCACACAAAACTTACAATTCACTACAGAACGTAAGAGTTCATTTTGTTATTTATATTTTCATATGAACATTATAACACATTAAAATTGTAGTCGAAGCTGCCGCCGTACACTGTATAAAATTATTAAATTACCATGAATTGAAAGTTGGATGTACGTAAATTATATTAATTAGAAACCACATATTTCTATAAAATATTTTAATAATTTTTAATGACTAATATCATTTAAAAAATTTTAAGCAACCTATCTAATTGTTGATTGCGGAGGTGGAACAGTTGATTTAACCGCTCGAAAATTATTGCCTAAATATCTACTTAGTGAAAATACTGAACGTTCTGTTCATTACTGCGGTGGCACATATGTTGACAGAAACTTTCTTGAATATTTAGAAAGTAGAGTCGGAGAACATGCTATTTCAATGTTACGAGAAAAACACTACCGTCAATTTCTTTATATGATTCAGCAATTTCGCGAAAGAGCTAAAATCCTATTCACTGATAAAATTTTTGAGTTTAGAACATTTGAATTTGATATTTTAAAGTATTGCCCTGCTCTTAAACTATATATTGAAAATTCGGTCTAGAACAAGATGGTTGGATTATTGATATTGATTATGAAACTGTCAAATCTTTTTTGATCCCGTTGTTAATCAAATTATTAAATTAATAAGCGATCAACTTTCAGAAATCAGTTAATGTTCTATAATATATATGGTTGGAGGTTTTAGTGAATCTAAATATCTTCAGGCAAGAATTAAAGAAAAATAAAATTGCAATTCCACCACACCCAGTAGCAGCTATAGTATGTGGTGCAGTTGAATATGGATTAGACATGGATACAATTAAAACTCGAGAATTAAAATGGACATATGGTGTACAAATTTATCCATTAATTAAAGAGGGTGCTGATCCTCCATCACGCAAAACTTCTGATGGTCATATTTATAAATTTAACATGCTTGCGAAAAGAGGTGTTGAAGTTGGTGTAAATCAAGAATTTACTTATAAGTTTATCCCGAAACAAAATCAAAAGAATGCATTATTTATTCTCCAAAACATAATGTAGAATATTGCGATGAACCTGAAGTAAAATTACTATGTGAATATGATATTGACTTACCTGATACTCATTTAGGCCAAGATAGATTGGTGTCTGTTAATTTTTGTTTTGGAAAAATGGAAATAATTGTAACTGTAAAGAATGAAGTGAATGGAATTATTTATCGTTATATTCCTAAATTAGAGTTTTAAATATTTATACTTTTAATTATTGTAATAGCCAGTGTTCAATAGACAAGTCAATAGACACAATAGACAGTCTAGTGGTCTAATGATGTCTAATTTAATTATTAGACAATAGACTAATCTATATTAAAGTGGAATGTCCGTCCGTCAACATCAGCCAATCAGAGCCCTCTTTTCAGCGATCACTGAAATTACCAATCACATTGCATTATTTAAGCTCACATGATCGACATTTTATTATATATTAAAAATTATTCGTTGTTTTACTATAATGATGTAATTTTTCATGC